GGGGGGGGGGGGGGGGGGGGAAGGGGTTACCACACGCGCGGTGCCCCGGAGCGACGCGGAATCACTCAGAGAGCGCCGGCTGTTACTTCATTTTTGCGGAGCGTTTACAACGTCCTGTCCACTCGCGTGGCATCGTTGCTGGCATTTCGATGCATAATAAACGACCGGTTAGCCCTGCGCTCACCACGGCTAACACCTCTGCCCCCTCTCTGCGACGACGAGCTGCGCGCGTAGAGGGGTAAAGGGACTTCTTTTTTTCGCCTCTCTTCTTCTCGTCGCTCCGCTCATCTCCCTCATCTTTCCCTTCTCGTTCAACATCCATAAGCTGGATGCACTCCGACTTCCTTTGTGGACTTTCTTCCTCCGCGAGGTGCATCTAACGAGATGCGGAGAGGAATGAGAAAAGCGTACGATGCGAACGAAAAGAGACGCGTGTCGAGAGAGTATTTGAAAGAAAGAGGGAGAAAGAGAGAGAGGAGGAAAGCTGTTACGAACGAAGTTTAACGAAAGGAAATCCGATTTGCACAGCGCGCCTCGTTCTCTCCTCTCTCTTCCTAACCACGTCCGATTTTCGCGTGCACGCACAAGATGACACGCTTCGCGCTAGCGACGTCGTTTCAGGATATGTACTTTGTATCTTTAGTTTCTCTCGAAGACTGTCATATAGTTTGTCTAGAACTTCAAAGAGAAGTGGCACCTGATTAATACTTCAAATTTTCATAGTCTGGAAATTTTCTCGGCGAAAATTGCATATTGAGAAAAAATGCAGAGAAATATTTTTAAATATATGGGACAATTATATTGAAGATGATGTTATTTTGTAAACCTAAATATGAATTACACTACAAATTCCAGGTAATTAATCTTGTTTTGCGATTCCATATTTTTTTTTTACAAGATTATGACAAGTTTTTGTAAACCGATGGCGTGTGTAAAATGTTCACGAAAACAGCGCAAATCGATTATCGTGTTCATTCAAAGGACACTCGATAAAAAAACTGTAACCAGCGTGTGGTGAAACGATTATTTGCGCAATCCATTCATAATGGATATGAAAGGGTGATTTCAATCTCTGCGAATGAGTTCCATTTACTGCAATTATTGCAAATTATTGTGGTACAAAATTTGCGGATTTACATTGTGAGAAAAATTGAAAAGGCAAAAAGTTTTTCCTCCTCTCTCTCTCCCCCCCCCTTTCTCTCCAATATTTTTACTTTGTATAAAATATGTATAAAATATATATAAAATATATTTATTACGTGTCAAGTATTATAAATTATTTTTTAATTATATAAATTAAAATGTTGTAATTAGTAATTACAACAAATATATTTAGTATAGAAAATTAAAAAGAGAAAATTAATGTGAACATAGATATAATAAACATAATATCTTCAGTGAAAGAATTTAAACTTTGAATCTTTGTTAAGAATTTTATTTTTTTTTCATAAAATAGAAAAACGAAAAATCATAAAAATTATGCAATTTTATAAAGATGTTAACAAACAGGGATAAAAAGAGAGAAGATCGCATAAAAATTATTGACACGTTCCGATTAGTTGGAGGTTTTGGAACTACCCGAATGTACTCCGATCGCGGTACCAAATCGATGGTAGACATGCCACCTGTGCGACACGCCGCGAAAAAGTGGAAGCGGCGTGCATCGGAGCGATTATTTGCACCGCGCGACTATAATGGATACGGAAAGGCCGGTTTGAATTCGCTCGAATGGGCGTATGAATGGTCGCCGTTTAGCGTAATTATTGGCGCATTGTCTACGGCACAATGCCGGGCGCGAAATTGGCATGCAAAAATCGGATGCGATCCCATTGTCGGCTATTGTCCGATCCCAAGCTACCGCCGCACCGTTGCACCCCCGCCCTTTCTCCGCGTGGCCTCAGTTTTCGAATATTTCGTCGCTTCGATTCTCTCGATTCCAGATCGTCGATAGATTTACGCGGGCTGGTCGGCGAAAAGAATTTCCCAACGAGGACGGTGAATCTCGAATGTATGCGCGGTTACGGGCGCAGAAAACGCGACTGTTGAGCCATAAAAGTACTTTCGTATTGTAATATTGAGCGGAAAGAAAAACGTAACAGAGAAATTTTAAATTGTTGTTGTTGATAAAGATTAGCAAGCAAAAATGTTTAATAATATTTTAGACGGTTTTTGCGAGAAATTAAATTGAAAAAGACTGAAATATTTATCTACAACAATTTGTGTACAAAAAATATACTTGTACGTTCTGATAAAATATGCGACTATTTATAAACAGATATAATAAATATTCTGATAAATTGCACTAGCTAAAATTATATTTACAGATCTTTTGCGTGTGTGTGTGTGCGCGCGCGCGTGTACGAGTGCGGATGCGAGTGCGAGTGCGAATGCGAGTGCGGGTGCGAGTGCGAGTGCGGGTACATATATGTGTGCGTGCTTGTGTGTATTGATACGCGATGCATTTGCTTATAACGTAAACATACTTAAAAATTTTTGCATATTTAATCTAATTCTATATTGCACAGACAGCTAAGAAGTTTTTATATGTAATTTTTTTGCTGTTTTCAAATTTATATTGCGAATTGATATTTATTTCTCCCGTCTTTGGAAGAAAGCTAGATGTGTGTAAAAGTTGAAGAGACCGACCAGAAAATTTTGTCGGTTATTAGGCAGAGATGGTCCGGCGGCTTGGTTCCGGCTCGTCTTGAGAGGAACCACGAACTTTTTGTGCGGCCAGATTGGCGGCCATTATGCCCACGAAATTGGGCCTTAATTGTGCCAGCGGTAATGAGTCGGGTTGCTCTAATGCATCGGCACCAACCAACCACCACACATAGTATCTTGTGATATCGCCATGGTATCCTTGCTATAACGGGTGACTCTTCCATCTTTTCCTTGATTTATATGCTAAATATTATAATCTTTCTCATATTTATATATTTATTAAAATATGCAACTGATTGTATACAATGTTTTAAATGATCAATATTTGATAAATAATTGAAATAAAAAATTAAAACGAAAGCTTGTTAAATTGACGAAAATTGTCGAAATGTTTTTGATTACATTAATATTTAAATATAATTTTCGTCAAATTCTCTACATACAAAATTATATTATGTATAATCTAATGACAAAATATATAATATATATATATTAAATTATTTTATGCATCATGTTATTAACAAATGAATGCAAACGAATGCAAAAATATAACAAAGATTTTTTAGACACCCAATAGAAGCAAAGGGCAGTAGGGAATGCTACTATGTGGCGACGTAGCATTATTTAATTGCTCTTCCGTTGTTTTTTCGTCGCCAGATAATTTGTGTACCTGGCGGCGATCTCTCTGTTTCTCCTTGTCTTCTTTCTTTGTCTCTCACTCTGATTCTTTTCCCGAATAGCTAGATGTTTCTCCTCCACCTCTGTCTCTCACCCTGATGTGCCTCATCTCTTTCCGAGCAGTTGTCCCTCTTCCATCAGTTTATACCGTCTCTGTGTAGCTTTAGTCATCGGTAAAAGAGAGAAGAAGTTGGTAAAAGGAGTACGAAGAGATAAAAGTGGAAGAGAAACAAACAACGCAAAGGACGAAAGCTTGAGAGAGAAGATACAGACGGCCTACTCCTAATTGCATGTAATTACCTATGGAGGCCAATTAGCTCAGATTGGTCGGACGATCCGCAACTAGCCCGGGGACT